GCTTTGGTAGTGTCATCCATTAACATGACGCAACAAACTTGTGGTGAACTTTCCAACCTCGTGAGTCTCATCGGCAGAAGAGAGCTGCTCCTATTTTGTGCTCTTTAGTATCAGCGAGGCTGGAATCACAGAGTGTGCTGGTTGGGATGGAGGCAGATGGTGGGGCAGTGACCTTTCTGTGTTCGCGGCACAGAGGTTCCTGAGTGCATTATCTTAGGTCTGGCTGTCAGTCGGCTCAGACTGGACAAGAAAATGGTCCATCGGTACTCTGACTCCAGATCAGATGGTCAGAAGCCGTCTCCCACAAAAAGGGTTTCTGAGCCCTGAGGACAGAATGAATTTATCAAAGTAGTTTCTGTCTACAAGGATTTGCTGAGCCATGAGTTCTTGAAATCTGTTAAACACATTGCTCATGTGCTGACTGTTGGAAGAGGCATTGATAGGAAAAAAAGATGATAAAAATACAGTGGCGAAAGGGCTGGGGATGCAAGGAGCTCAGTTAAGCCTGGGTGGCTGAGGTGGTGCCGTGGGGTTGTCCTCTAAGCAGAACGTTGGCGGTTCGATCCTCCACAGTCGAAGACGCTGAACCTGAAATTGTTGCCATTGTTGTGTGAATGTGTATCTATTCTCAGACGTACGCCGCTTTGTTTTAAAGCGTCTGTTGAATGAAATTATAAATCCATTTCGATAGTTATTTATTGCCGATGTATTGGAATCCATTTAGAACTGCTCTCTGCAGACATCACTGGACTTGGGAGTGCTTATCAGTTGGAAAATGTTATCTTTTCTGTCACTGATAAACAGATGTTTCAATAACCTCCCTGCTTAAGTTTCTAATGCTGTGTCTCCAGAGACATTCTGATTGACTTTAGTGTCTCTAACTACCTGAGTTACAGGCCGAATGGATGTTTTTCCCTCTTTTGCACCACATGACAGTTTATTAGCTTTGTTTTTGGTTGGTATAAACCTACTGCAGTTGTGTGTCTGTATTCATATCAGTGATCTATGTTACCTGAAGTGAATCTGTACATTTCTTTCTCAAAGCAACACTGAGGCTCAGTACAGCCTGCGAGAGCTGCTGGCATGGCTGGAGACCATTTGTCTTGTTTAAACAATGAAGAACTTACTGTCTGGAGAATCATCATTAGGTGGTGGCTAATAAAAATAAACTGATTGCTTTGAAACGCTTCCTGAAAAATAGCTGTTTACAGGACTTCCTTGCGTTCCTAATGACTTTACAATGTGCAGAGGAAAAGGAAAAAAAGCATCTTGTTTTTGACAACATTATGTGGAATGTCTCTCAGAGGAGATTAACTCCAGCTCCAGTGGGACTAAAAACTGATTGGTATTTTAAAGTAGCCTGCTTACAATAAGGTAAAAGCAAATGGCAACAAGTGGGCTTAAGATGCCAAGATTAGTTTAATGTTAAATCAAGTGATTTAACCCAGAACCCAGTGAAGAGTTTACACAACACGGCTCCAAATGTTAAGAATCACTAAAATAAAAAACAACATGTGTGATCTTTTCCATTAGTTAAATAAGCAGCGTGACCGAATCGCAGTCACGGAAGAGAGATGGAGATGAAAGTGCCATAAATGTGTTTAATGCCTTCAAGACAACTCAAAAGCGCAGTTTGTACACAACACAGCAGCAGGAGACGAATCCTAATATTTTTCTACCCGGCGTGCAGACTGCAGCTGTTTTTCGACTTTAGGTGAATGTTTTTTTCCGAATCACTTTCAGGCTCCAGACATCAAAGTTGACAGAAGCTGATTAAACATTTCATTTTTCAAGACGTTTGCAACAAGATAAAAAGAAGTCTGAAATTCCTCAAGGACCTTCTTCTGTCAGTTAATTGCCCCTTTTGGGTACAAAAGCACGACAAACTTTGATTTTAATCCTCCTCTTTTTTTTTATTTTTTTTTTTGTTGAGCCCCAAGACCCAAAAGTGACAGTCATATTTTATTTCAAAGTGCACGACTTCGTTTTTCAGTTCAGGATTCTCATTTCAGTGGGTCATCTGAGGAGACTGTGGAAAGTTTTATGTGTTGGTTTCCTCAGTATGTTCAGAAAATTGTCCTCTCTGTCTTGAATGATTTACTCCATCTGAATTTCTGACCTTGTGTTCCTCCTTCCTCTTGGCAAGGTTTCACCGTGGCTCATGCTAATTCTTTATTAACGTTAATTTGGACGGTGTTTTTAGATACGCAGCTAATTACTTTGTTTGGCTGCTCTCTTACAGTTTGATACAGCTCTACAACATTTCTTTTCTTTTTTACTTCTACTCCACTACATTTCAGAAGGAAATGTACTGTTTCCATCAATATATCTATTTGACAGTTTTAGTTACTGGTCATTTTTCAATTTAAAGATTTTTGCACACGTTGCCCACATCGATTAGCCACAACATTAAAACCACTGACAGGCGACGTGTACAACATTGAACATCTTCTTACAGTGCAATGCCTCCTCTGGGCCTCTGTGTAACTGTGAGAGAACTTATTACTGTTTTCAGAATTTTAACAAACCAAACAGTCAGTCGACTCATGGAGAAGATAATCAGCAGACCAGTTGCAGTCCAGAGTTCCAAACGAGCACCACCTCTACCAACGACAACTGTAAAATGCTGCTTTTACATCAGCGTATAAATTATAATAATCTAATGATATAATCACACATAAGAGGCACACACAGAGGCGGCTGTGACTCAGGTGGTAGAGCGGGTTGTCCACTGATGGCAAGGTTGGCGGTTCGCTCCTCGGTTCCCCCCACATGCCGAAGTGTCCTTGGGCAAGACACTGAACCCCAAATGGCTCCCAATGGTAGATTAGCACCTTGCATGGCAGCTCTGTCGCCATTGGTGTATGAATG